GTTGTCTAATCTCCATCTAATCTCCATGTCTGACTAGTTGTCTTTGTGTGCTGAAGCTCGCACTTAGGAAACTGTTTGCTAGATATAATTTGATATGCAGTATGATGCCATCTTCCTCCAGAGAGAATTTACATTTACTTCTGCTGGGTACCTGGGGGCACTTAGCAATTGGAGGTCACCTCAAGTTCAAGTTCACAAGTGAGATGATTTGAAGCTGAGTGGGTACCCGCAAGTGCCTCTTTCTCTCTGGTTCATTCTTATTTCTAGGATGCAGCCCTTTACTGGTCCCAATTCAAAGCAAAGGAAGTTCACGGCACCCCTTTAGAGGACCCCACACTCAAATCCTGTCCCCACGCCACACAGACAGTCCAAAGCACTACTCAATCTCTCAGCTGCCCACGGCCACATTTTCAAATGCCCTCAAGGGAAAGACAGCCCCAAATCCTGGCTCCCCTCTTTAGACTTCTGTCCTTCCACATATCCTGGCCTCATAATTCTTCACTCACCTACACACACTCTGGGGCAAATGCTGAACACTGGGGTTGGAGTGAGTATGTTGAGAGCCAACTGACACAACTGTTTCAGATACGCACTTTTAATTAACACCCCTATTTCCAGCACCCATTTCATCTTCATTCTCTGTATCTGTCGTCACTATACCCCAGTCTCTTTGGTGCTCTACTACAGACAGGTTCTCTTCCTGTTGCAAATGTCCCACCCACTTATTCTCTCTTCCTCTGCTCTGTTTCATCTGCATCAAGTTTCCAACTACTTTTCATATTCCAGAAACTTGTTAAAGGCTCTCATCCACTGATTACTGTCCTCTTGTTCTCTTTGTTTAGGTGTGTAATCCACTATCTTAAATCAGAAGTTCCAAACCACTCATTTTAGGGGTGAAATTATTAAGGCCCCAAAGGACACATTATTTACCGAGGTCACCAAAAACTACCACTACGAGGATCAGACTAGATTTAGAGCTCAAGTCTCTTGAATCACAGCCTTTCTATGCCTTATACCATACATCTTCTT